CAAAATCACGTAACCGCAAAAAAAACCGCCAGTGTTCATAAAAATATATCACGTATCGTATGAAAAGGGTTTTTTACAAATTTTGATTTTTTTACGACTACTCCTTGGAAAAACTCGTTTAAGAGGGCGAATTTTTAAAAAATTTTGGGTCTATCAAAAATTTTTGAAATCATTTCAACCTTAAAATCAGACTGTTGGGCTTAAACGACGAGAACTCGATAGTCCTAAGACAACAAAACAATTACGAAAAAGAAGTTTGCCCCCAAGAAAAGAAACTTTGTTCAAAATTTAAATCTTAATAAAAAAAAAGTGGGGTTTAAAATCTCTACCTTATACATTTACTAGTAGTAAAAAAAGTAAAATACAAAATGAACATTTGAACACAAAAAGTATTTTGTGACAGCAAAGTTTTTTTCAAGTTAAAAAATTTTAAAATTTAGGAAGACTAAAATTACTCTTTAGCTACACTCCTATAATAAATCTTACGCCAAAAAACAAGTGTAACTTTCGCACCTTATTTTAATTTTGCAAACAGGAAGAAAAAACTCTTACCCGGCAGAAAAAACTAGCACTGGTTTTAAAACGGCGCCACGCTAATTGCTTAAGTAAAGTAAGCGCCCCCGCTTTCCAGATAACGAAAAAGTCTCCCCTAACTGCAATGTAGGGGTAATTTTATAAAAATATCCTACTGAACAAATTTTAAAAAGAAAAACCAATTGATAACCTGTATGTATTTGCAGCTTTGCACAAAAAACTGTGACGTAACTGTGAGGGTGTTGGAAAAAAAAATAAAAAACTTTTGGCCGTTGAAAAAATGTTACCGGGTTTTCTGCTATCCGCGGTCTCAACCTCCGCAAAGACAACCTTTTAAATCCCCTATTTTTATACCCCCGAGCAATCTCACCTAGCTTTTCCAGGGTCACAGACCCGCGTTTTTCCTGGCCAGCACCCAACACCACCAAAACGTTCCGGGGCAGTACAGATCCAGATGCCCGAAATCAACAACAGTAGCGCCTCCAAATGCTACCCAGGTAGCTCTGATCCTCGCTTCCAAGACCTACTAGGCCAGTATGCACCCCGGACACGAGATCCAAACTGCCCAAACCACCCCCCCCAACGACTTCAAACCCACCAACTTATTTACCGCCTAAACCAACCACGCCTGAACCACCACGATGCTACCCCGGTAGCACAGATACGAGGTGCCCTAACCCTACACCTGCGCCTCCTCAATGCTTCCCAGGCAGCACAGATCGTAGATGCCCAAAGCCAACAACACCTGCACCACCACGATGCTTTCCAGGGAGCACAGACCCTAGATGCCCCAAACCCACCACACCTGAACCACCTCGCTGCTTCCCCGGAAGCACAGACCCTAGGTGCCCCAAGCCAACAACACCTGCACCGCCTAGATGTTTCCCAGGGAGTACGGACACCAGATGTCCCAAGCCCACTACACCTGCTCCTCCACGATGCTTCCCGGGTAGCACAGACCCCAGATGTCCCAAGCCAACGACACCTGAACAACCTCGTTGCTATTCCGGCAATACTGATAGCAGATGCCCAAAGCCGACGACCTTAGCACCACCTATTTGTTTTCCAGGTAGCACAGATCCCCGTTGTCCACGGCCCACGAAGCCTGTATGCTATCCTGGTTCACCAGATCCAAACTGTCCTAAACCTACACAACCAACAACAGAAAATCCACCAACATACTTACCTCCAGTAACACCTACACCTAAGTGCTATCCCGGATCTAAGGATCCTAATTGCCCTAAACCAACAACTCCTGAACCTCCACGATGCTATCCTGGCAGTACAGACGCCAGATGCCCCAAACCTACAACACCAGAACCCCCACGTTGCTTTCCCTGGCAGCACAGATCTCAAGGTGTCCTAAACCAACAACACCAGCACCTCCCCGATGCTTCCCAGGGAGCACAGACCCACGATGCCCCAAACCCACTACACCTGAACCACCACGTTGCTATCCGGGTAGCACAGATCTTCGATGCCCCAAACCCACTACTCCTGAACCACCAAGATGCTATCCTGGCAGTACAGACCCTAGGTGTCCTAAACCCACAACACCTGCACCTCCCCGATGCTTCCCGGGGAGCACAGACCCAAGATGCCCCAAACCAACTACACCTGAACAACCACGTTGCTATCCGGGTAGCACAGATCTTAGATGCCCCAAACCTACTACACCCGAACCACCACGATGCTATCCTGGCAGTACAGACCCTAGATGTCCCAAGCCAACAACACCTGCCCCTCCACGATGCTTCCCAGGGAGCACAGACCCCTAGATGTCCTAAACCCACTACACCCGAACCCCCACGCTGTTTCCCCGGCAGTACGGATCCTAGGTGCCCCAAACCTACAACACCTGCACCACCACGATGCTTCCCAGGGAGCACAGACCCTAGATGTCCTAAACCCACTACTCCTGAACCACCACGATGCTATCCTGGCAGCACAGACACTTAGATGCCCTAAGCCAGGACAACACCTGCCACCACCACGATGCTTCCCAGGCAGCACAGATCTCAGATGTCCAAAGCCCTACCACGCCTAAACCAAAAGAGCCGGTGTGTTTACCCAGGTTCGCCCGGATCCAAAATGCCCACAACCGCACGCGGCAACGACTATAACTCCACCAACATACTTACCTCCAGTAACACCCGCACCAAAGTGCTATCCCGGTTCCACAGATCCTAATTGCCCTAAACCAACCACACCAGAACCACCACGATGCTATCCTGGCAGTACAGACCCTAGATGTCCCAAGCCAACAACACCTGCCCCTCCACGATGCTTCCCAGGGAGCACAGACCCTAGGTGTCCTAAACCCACTACACCCGAACCCCCACGCTGTTTCCCCGGCAGTACGGATCCTAGGTGCCCCAAACCCACTACTCCTGAACCACCACGATGCTATCCTGGCAGTACAGACCCTAGATGTCCTAAGCCAACAACACCTGCCCCTCCACGATGCTTCCCAGGGAGCACAGACGCTAGATGTCCTAAACCCACTACACCCGAACCCCCACGCTGTTTCCCCGGCAGTACGGATCCTAGGTGCCCTAAACCTACAACACCAGAACCTCCTCGATGCTTCCCAGGAAGCACAGATCCGAGATGCCCTAAACCTACAACACCTGCACCACCACGATGCTTCCCGGGTAGTACAGACCCTAGATGTCCCAAGCCAACAACACCAGAACCTCCTCGATGCTTCCCTGGTAGTACAGATGCGAGGTGTCCTAAACCCACTACACCCGAACCTCCTCGATGCTTCCCTGGTAGTACAGACCCTAGATGCCCCAAGCCAACAACACCTGCCCCTCCACGATGCTTCCCAGGGAGCACAGACCCCAGATGTCCTAAACCCACTACACCCGAACCACCACGATGCTATCCTGGCAGCACAGACCTTAGATGCCCTAAACCGACAACACCCGAACCCCCACGCTGTTTCCCCGGCAGTACGGATCCTAGGTGCCCTAAACCTACAACACCAGAACCTCCTCGATGCTTCCCAGGAAGCACAGATCCGAGATGCCCTAAACCTACAACACCTGCACCACCACGATGCTTCCCGGGTAGTACAGACCCTAGATGTCCCAAGCCAACAACACCAGAACCTCCTCGATGCTTCCCTGGTAGTACAGACCCTAGATGCCCCAAGCCAACAACACCTGCCCCTCCACGATGCTTCCCTGGTAGTACAGACCCTAGATGCCCCAAGCCAACAACACCTGCCCCTCCACGATGCTTCCCAGGGAGCACTGACCCCAGATGTCCTAAACCCACTACACCCGAACCACCACGATGCTATCCTGGCAGCACAGACCTTAGATGCCCTAAGCCGACAACACCTGCACCACCACGATGCTTCCCAGGCACCACAGATCCCAGGTGTCCAAAGCCTACCACGCCTAAACCAAAAGAGCTGGTGTGTTACCCAGGTTCGCCGGATCCAAAATGCCCGCAACCGCCGCGGCCAACGACTATAACTCCACCAACATACTTACCTCCAGTAACACCCGCACCAAAGTGCTATCCCGGTTCCACAGATCCTAATTGCCCTAAACCAACCACACCTGAACCACCACGATGCTATCCTGGCAGTACAGACCCCAGGTGTCCTAAACCCACAACAACTGCACCTCCACGATGCTTCCCAGGAAGCACAGATCCGAGA